AAAGTCAAATTTCGAAAATAACGCCGCTGAAGCCCAAAAGAGAGAAAAGTTGTTTCTCCCTATACTAATGCATGGGAGATAGGAGGTTCTTCCTCGCGCCGCGCCGCTCAGCGCTGGCCCGCTGGGGCTGGGGAGCCGTTGATAGTTTCGCCTTGCCGGCAGGCTACGAGCTCAACTTACCCCCACTCCTTATATTTCCGACTCACATTCCTGTATCTCTCTCCCTCCCCTCCTTCGACAGACGCTCTGCCCCCCGCGCCGCGCGGCGCAACGGGCAGCTCCCCCGCCCGTCCCCCTCTCGCTCAAATCCGGGTCCGGTTTCCGGTCGTGTGAACCCCGTGCGTGCCGCAGGATTTTCTCTTTCCGTTCCGCATGCCGCTGTCGGAAGCCAAGCGCCCGGCCCGTTAATTATTTGCTGTCAACTATTCTGTATGTATTGTTTCCCACATCCTTAACCATAATTTATTAATTGTTCCAAAATATTTTAGGGTTTTCGGCGAACACTGCGAACCTATGGACGCCACGCCACTGAAACGATCAGTTGGAATTTCAATCTAAAACTTGATAAACTTACAGTATTTCCATCGTAGAAGTCAATTTTGGCCTTACTTTTGCTCGTTTGACCGAAATGTATCATTCGTGGAGTTTATGAGTTGTTGGTTGGGGTTGGAAAAAAGCTGTTTTCATTCTAGCTCACACAAATAGACATATTGATGGAGAGTACCTACATATTAAGTATTACCTATATACTATACATGTTCTATCAATACTTTTTAATGAAAGTGTTTGTTATACACTTATACATATGTGTCCGCCCTTTTGCATTGGTTTAAGAGTTACCTTACCCACGAGTCTCCAAAGCACTGCTTCCTGGGATTGTGCTCTTCTCAGCCGACTCTCATTGGGTCTAGTAGTAGAAAAGGGCTGAAAAAGAGTTTTCCTTGAATAATAAAAGGCATCTAAGGGTGGAAAAGGGTAAGTAAGTAGAGATGGTATCAAAATGACTCGAAAAGTGGTGGGAGGGGAAAAGTGCAGTCTTAAGGGAGTGAGATGGGGCTGAAAAATCGCGTACCTATTGATGTGAACAATAAGTAAGGTCAAAAATGGGATTTTCGATGAACATACCATACCATCAAGTATCAAAAATTCAACGTGCATTTTCAACCCGAACTAGTGATATCTCTCTTTGAATAACTTCTTTTCACTCTGATACTAAAAGTTTAGAAATATACCCCCCTCCCCCCCGTGCAAGCTCTAGCGATCTAGGGGGTGGTGGTGGTAGTTTAACGTAGCCTACAGCCCCCTTCGCCTCGAGAAAGCCTTAGAAAATTGTTAAAATTTAGATCCTCGCGAACCTCAATTTACTCTATTTTTAGGATGAAATCTGATGGAAAATCTTGAAAAACAATGGTTTCATTTCATTCTCTCTTATTTATGATTATTTGCCACTTATTTGAGCCATATCCAGTCGTTACTCTACAGCGTTTAGAATTTTTTGAGTTACGTATTTAAATTTCTCAAAAAAACATCTCTCTGCGTTTAAAACATGCTTGGGAAATGTCTTATTCATCACCAGTTAGATCCAAGTGAGCGACATATTATTGAGGAAACTTGCTCCGAAGGGAGCAAGCGCAATCACGACGGGAAGAGGGAACAGGACGGCGCGGGCGCATCGGAGTCAAAAGCAGCGAAGCGCTCGGACTGGGAACGTACCGCTCTCCCCGCCCGCCGCGGTGATTCCGCCGCCGAGCAGTCTTGCAACCGATTCTCCAGGGCATGAGTTGGCCCGTGCCGTGTTCAGGCCGCGCAGCGCTCTGGCGCCTGGCGCAACCACACCGTCCGCTTTGCCGCTTTCCTACTTTCGTGGCTGCTATGTACGTATTTCTGCATCTCTCTCTTTCTGTTCCTAATGCAATTTACCTACTAATACCTACATTTGATCAATTAGATTTGCTAAAATTTAAAACATGTAATAAGTGTAATTTTCCTCTTACTTCTGAAGTATTTGGGAAAGCAGTGCTTGCCCTGCTTATCCGGACCGCACGCCACTGACACCCCCCCCCTCCCCTTTATATGTCATCATCGTTTGTGTCATCATATATTTTAGGATGAGTTTGGTCATAAATTCATTTTTCGATCAAAATACCATTAATCTGCGAAGTTTCAACACGAAATGTCTACCAGGACGAGTACAATCTAGGGTGAGTACCTTTTCTTTTTACCGCCGAGATCATATATTTGTGTCAACAAATCAACAAAAGTAAGGTCAAAAATGAAATCTCCGATCAAAAGTCCTCTGGGATACCGAGTTTCAACACGAAATGCCCACAAGAACGAGTAAAACTTATCTTTGAGAAAGTTATAAATTTTTATGTTTCTCCGGAAAGTTTGAAAGAATGCGTAAAATTGTGTATTTGCGTCATTTTATTGAAAAAAGTAAGGCCAGAAATGAATTCTACGATCAAAATAACCCAGGAATACTTTGGTTTAGCACGAAATCCCCGCAACAAGTAAGGCGATGGGGGCATTTTTTCCTGGATGAGCCGAGCCGGGGCGAAAACCGAGTCAGTGGCTGCGAGCAGCTGAGAGACGGATTTCTTGACAACTTTTGTGAATGATCGAATATGGCCACGTCCCCGTTAGAAGCTATGGTAAAGAATCGATAGTGCGATAGTCGAATAATCGCATTCGATACGATACTCGATATTCGTCCAGCTGATTCAGCATGGCAGCCAAGAATGCACAAACAATGCATTTTCCCGCGCAATCGGCAATCACGCCGGTGCAGAGAGTATAGCCGGTGCCGGTGCCCGAATTCTGGATCGCTCAGTTAATTGTAATGGTTGAATTGTAATTTATTTAATTATTAGCAGTTAAAACTATCATCTTCTTTGCTCATTTAGAAGTATTTCATCAATTCGAGACGAAGATTTAACTCCAGGGCCAACGGAAATCAAGAAGAAGCCATGGGAAGTGCGGTGAAACCTACGAGCTCTAGTGCTTGTGACACCGAAGTTCTGAGTGGATCTATACATACAGGTATGAGTGTATGAGTCGTTTTTCTGGTATTCCTTTCAATCATCTCTCTTTCAACTAAATCGAGGAAGCTTACACTACTGATTCCTACATGAGAACTTAGTGAAGTTCCCATAACTTACGATGTTACAACAGAATTGTCATCAGACTCCTGTGACGGAAAATGCGTCTTTTTGTCTGTCGCTTATTGACTTGTCTTGGAGACTCCACTATGGACCAAGATGTATCTCTTTATCCATTCTTATCTTATCTAGTCAATCTATGAATGCAGACCGGTTCTTGAAACTCCGTTGGTACGTCAGGACAAGATAAGGAATGTGTGAGCTTTGCGATTGGAAGTCCTTGATCTCCTAGGTCTGGACATGCCGAAATGAGTTTCAATGATCGATTCCTGTGTGAGACATGTTGACTGAAGCTAACTTTAAAGAAGGAACCTCTGAGCACAGTGAAGAGTGTTTTACAGGTTTTGTTTCCCAATCCCCTGCATATAGCAAGAACTGTGAATATTGTTGCTATGTATACCTAAAGGTCATCCTAGTTCGGACTCCATCGCCAGGTATTTTCGGCCTAAATTTCCTCCTCAAGAATTGTAACTTCCTCATTCCCCAAATGTCCTGTAACTCTCTCCTTCTTTCACTTTCATGTCGTTTAATCTGTGAAGGAAAGAGTTAGTTCGTCTGCATGTAGTCTTGCTGTGATAATGAGGCCAAATTCATAATTTTGAAAGCTCATCTAGACAATCTCTTCTCTTCCCTGCGAACCGATAGCTTAGCCTCTGTTTCACCTGATCATTTCTCTTTCTTTATTCAATGGGCCAGTTGCACTGGTAACAGAATCATGTTTTGATGCTTGGTTCTAGGAGATCAGCTCTAAATATAAAGATCTGTCTCAACAGCAACTCTCTACCTTGAATATTAACGGAGATATCTCACCTTGACGAACTTGATTTATGACGTCATCCACTGCGGTAGTGCGTAACATGATACGTCCTACCGTGGTGGATGACATCATAAATCAAGTTTTTATAGGCGAGATACCTTGGTTAGTATTCAACGTAGAAATTTGCTGTTTGGCCAGATCTTATCATTTTTAGTTGATCTGCAAGAATGAAGTATCATAATACGATTCTGAGACCAGCACAACTGACTTATTCTTCCACTCTTCTCTTTTATTTCCATTGTTGTAAGTCTACATTTTTTGCAATTACCTGTTTACTCTGCTCTCTCGAGGTGTTGTCAGCTAAGTTGGCACTTGTTTCCATTCCAGTTGCAAGCAATTGCTATGCAATTGTCGAGCAGCAATAGAGGATTGACAGCAGTCCGATAGTGAGCTTTGTCAATCATCGATTCCTGATGGACGACTATATTTTAGTTGCTCGCGAACGATATGTATTCAAGTGCCAACGTAGCTGACGACACTTCTACCTCAAGTTAGCAGCATTGCTTCTGATAGTTTTATACAAGTTTGTCCTACCTCTTGAGGGCACAAAGTTATTTGACCAATTTTATCTACTCTCCACTGTCAACCTTCTCTGGTATTGAATTGTGCGACACTCAAGAATATTTATTTTTGGTTTACACTGTACTCCCCGTTTTTATTTGAACAGAGTGGGTATGTTTTCAAAACCATTCATTTCTCTAACTTCCATGTACAACAATGCTTACTTGCTAAGTCACATTTTTATGTCTTTGATGGTCTTTTGCACAAGGGAGTCTCAAAAATGAGTTTTGCTCAAAATGGCGGCAGTAAGGTAACATTAACTTATGCCTTACCCAACATCGACGCCTTAGATGGGCTTATGCTACCTGATCAACCATGTTTCGAAGCTCAGCCATGCTCTGTCATTTATCAAGCTAACTTTGATATCAACTTCGAAGACTGGAATGGGTTTGTCACTATCGTAGCAAAGAAGCCACCGTTCATGCCAGTTTGGGAAGCTTCATCTTTCTGCTGCTTGACCACCGTTAATCCGTCTAATTGAATGGATGATAAATGATAATTCATAATTTTTAGGAGCTTTTCCAAGGTAGTTTTGAGAAAAATGAGAGGAAATCGCAAGTTTTGAGCAGGGAATGAATAATATCAAGAACTACAGGTAACATGCTTAAATCGGTGCTCAGAAAAAATGATATGACTCGTTCACTCGTACCTAAATCATTTCAGAGCCGCGGCAGGATCAGAAACATTGTATCTGATAAGTTAGTTCCATGCAAGTGTTTTCAACTTATGTAAAGCAGACATTTTCAAAATTGGTAGAGGCATCTATTTTAGAATAAAATCAGATTTTTATATATTTCTTTGATGGAAGGTCATCTGATCGTTGATTTCAATTTTAAAGATTTCAAACTATCCAAAGAATCCATCGCAGATTGACTTTTAAATGTAAATGTATCCATTTTTGAACCTTTATAGTAAGTGCACCGAAAACAGTCAACAGGTTTTTTCATTGAAGCTTAATCGACACTGGTTCTGGTCGTGTTAAAAATTCAGAGCTTTGCTATGTTGTGAATTAGAAGTTGTCAATCTACCAATCCTGTAAAATATCTATTTGTAATGCTCCAGAATGATCTGTTGGAAGATGGCTTGGAACATGCGGTCATGCTATACACGTGGCAATGTTGCTCTCGAGCTATCCCGCAACCGAAGTCCAATAAGCAGCCGAACCGGGTGGAAATCTATGGAAAGACTGTTGAAGTATTAGCTCCTGAAGTGAGCAAGCTGCTTTATTTCATGTATTTTCAGGTGAGCATTCTAAATTTGCTAGTTTTCAACATTCGGTAGGTAATTGGAGTAGTGTATTTTAGATGCAAACTTGCATCAAGTTCTCTACTAATGTGTCTAAGAAGTGTAACTGATCTTGCCGGGCCAGAAAAACATGCAAGAAAAAAGGGATATTTGAATGCTTCAAACCACAATTTCCACTAATTGCCATAATGCTAGTACTTAGTTTAGGTTATTCACCTGACACCTGTAGTCTTTAGTTATATGATTAAAAGACAAATAACTAAACGAAAGTATATCAATTACACTGATAAAATAATTAAATTAATTCTCTTTGTCTCTAATATTAAAAATTTTAATAAAAATATTTATTTAATTAACTGAAATTACTTCCCTCTGCTGTTTAGTTCCGTGCAAAAACTGGTGATGGTGCCTATATTGCACAACTATGTGATCTTTTATTTATTTAGTATGAATTGTTACAATTGAAACAATAAAAATTGTTATAGTACAAGGAAAATACCGGTCACCGTGCCTGAAATTACTTGGCGCATTTAGCAAGAAAAGGGTCCTGGCTGTGGATTTGTCAAAGGTCTTGGTCTTTTTAATTTTCATTCAGTTTTTTTGTCTATTGAACTTCCATCTTATTTTTGCCAATATTCATCGGAAAATTTCATTTTATCTAGGACATATGCCATAGGTTTAGATCTCAATTGATGATACAATGATAAATTCTCGCTTGCCAAATTATAATTACTTTATTGAACTATTGCCCTGAGGAAAGTTTCATGCTTTCCGAGAGGAGACTACCAAGTGAATTTTATGAAAATTTTCATTTGAAGAATTGTAAATTCATGAAGAATATTCAGTAGGAGTTTCAGCGAATTACTTACATTTGCTTGATCAAAATGGATGAAAAATTGGTGAAGATTCTGAAACACTGCAACTGAAGAGTATCCTTTCTGTGCTTTGATTTTCTCAAAAATTGGAATTACTTAACAAATCCTAATAATGAATTTGAATTTCACTCCATCATTTTCTTCATACTTTACTTTGGTTACACAGCACGACAAACAACCAAACCAATTTTTTCGTTTCCTAGGTGTAAAGGAGGCCGAAAATGCTCACATAAACTTCAGGAAAATTGTCTGCGGGGCGATTATTGAAATGATATCAACTCTATGTGGCCGCTTTGTCGTGTCGCGCCATTGATTGAGAGCCACTCAGTCGATGGCGCGAAACGATAAAACGGCGACATGGAGTCGATATCATTTCAATATTCGCCCCGCTGGTGCTCAGGACTCCGCCATTTTGAATTTTTCCAAATTGAGAAAACCCATGATTAGATTTTTGCAAATACCAAAACGGTTTATCCCATAAATAAAAAAAAAAAAACCAGCAGAAAGAACATACAAGTACCTGCCAAAATCACCCTCCTTCGTTTTTTCTAGCTTAATTTTTAGGTGGTAAAATTAACGTCCTCATCAAAAATTAGCTACAAAAAAGGTGCATTTTTGCTGATTTTAGGAGAAACTTTGCTTCAAATCTCCAGCCACGATTATCTGAGAAAAAAACTGTCAAGCTCATTGAAAAGAACGTAAAATTTACTTCTAAAAGTCATATGTCAATAGTTCTTACACTTGATTTAATCGTGTGAAACAGCAGTTTATTAGCTCTGCCCTTTAAGTGTGCTTTTGTGGACTATCTCCTTTAAAATCAAGAAAAAAAGAAGAAAAAAACCTGAAACCGTGGCTCAAACTGTGTAACAATGCGGTAAAATAGTGCTGGGCCCACACTATTTGGAGGGGGGGGGGGAGCCAAAAAGTTCAAAAACTTTCAATCAGAGCCAACAATTTTGAGCTCTAATGAGGATCAGTACAAAACTGATGGGGGAGAGTGTTCAGCTCAGGCAGTTTGCATTGGAATATTAAGGGGAAGTCACGTCGAGAGATCTATAATTTTGTGTCTCTCTATACCTCATCAGTAGATCACACTCGTCAGTGAACTCAACTGAAAATCTTGCACAATCCAAGACCGCATCAAAGTTTAAGTTTGAGGTACAAGTTTTGTACTGCAAGACGGTAAGTTTCGTATTAGTGCTCATTATAGAGCTCACAAGTTTTGATTCTGATTGAAAATTTCTGAACTTTTGGGCTTCTGATCTCACTGCATAATGTTATCTACCGATGAGGTATAAAAAGACACATAATTAGAGATCTCTCGATGTGACCTCATCTTAATATTCCGATGCAAACTGCCTGAGCTGAACACTCTCCCCCATCAGTTTTGTACTGATCCTCATTAGAGCTCAAAATTGTTGGCTCTGATCGAAAATGTTTGAACTTTTGGCTTTGCCCCCTCCCCCCCCCCCAAATAGTGTGGGCCCAGCACTATTTTACAACCTTGTTACACAGTTTGGGCCACGTTTAAGGTTTTTTCTTCTATTATTCTTTGTTTCAAAGGAGATGGTCGACAAAATCACAATTTAAGGGCGGAGCTAATAAACTGCTATTTCACAGAATTAAATCAAGTTTAGGAACTATTGACGTAAATTTTCTAGAAGTAAATTTTACGCTCTTTTCAATGAGCATAACAGTTTTTTTCTCAGATAATCGTGGCTGGAGATTTGAAGCAAAGTTTTTCCTTAAATCAGCAAAAATGCACCATTTTAAAGCTCATTTTTGAAGAAAACGTTAATTTTACAACCAAAAAAGTAAGCTATAAAAACAGGGGAGGGTGATTTCGATAGGAAATTTTATGTTCTTTCTGCTGGTTTTCTTCTTCTTCTTTTTTTTTTTTTTTTTCGTGGGATGAACTGGTGAGGAGATATTTGCAAAAATCTAATCGTGGGTTTTCTCAATTTTGAAAAATTCAAATTGGCGGCGTCCTGAGCACCAGACAATTTTCCTGAAGTTTATATGGGCATTTTCGGACTTGCTTAGCACCTATAGGAAACGAAAAAAATTGGTTTGGTTCGAAGGACAGAACCCGTGTTGAGCGGTGTTATTCCTCAATTTATTTAATTCTATTAAACTGTACATGACATCTAGAAAAGTCTTACTTTCTACTAACAAAATCATGTTTTATGCTCAGTCCGCATTTCAGCAGCTTCTGTGGTCACGATCATCAGTTGATTGTCAAGGTTGATGGTGGCCAGGAGGGTAGTTACTACAGGGCATAAAGTGTTTTCTAAGTTTGGTGCACATTTTGATCACATAACTTTTACTGTCAAGGAACAAATCAATTTAGTGAGATCATTAATCTCTAACTCCAATTATTTCTTTCACAGCAAAAAGCTATTGAAAGATTTTGTGCAGAGGTAAAACGGCTGTGCCATGCTGAAAAGAGGAAGGATTTTGTGTAGGAAGCCTACTTGCTCACCCTAGGAAAATTATATGTTTGCGGTGCTAGATGAAGTAAAAAACATGAAATCAAGTGTGAAAAATGATTATTCTACCTATCGCCAGTAAATTCATGTCTGTGAAGTCATAAAAGATTTCTCCGTTTTGAACTTTTCTTCTTCTGTGTACCTGAATGAAGTTCTTTTTAAAAAATGTGTGTACAGAAGTAATATTGCAAAAGTCTCCACAAGAGCTGTCCAAAAATTAATATTTAAGTCTTTTATGTTTTAATCAGAGTTTATTAGGACTGGGGAAAGAAAAGAGGAGACAAAAGTCACGTCAGTCTGAATGCATCAAATCATCAGTTGGCTTGAATGGTGCAATTTTTGGATGTGACATTAGTCTCTTCTTTTCTTTCCCTAGTTCTATGTCTTTCAGCCATCTGGCATACCTTCAATTGTTGAGGAATTTTACCCAAATAAGTCAGGAAAATTCTTTTCTAAACTCTGTGGCAACCCTGTGTCACATTGTGGAGAGTCAAGTCTTTTGTCCGTGACATCGAACAGTTTTCTCCCTTCCTTCTGATTCATATCAAACCTCCGTTGTAGCTCAAAAGTATCGTGACAAGTCTCTACACCATTGCTTCTTTTTTCAGTGCCGCCCAGATCTTGAAAGTCATGGCAGATTCACACACCCCGCAGGAGTCGCAGAATTTATCCATGTTTCTCGCTACACAGAACAAAATTCGAAACACGGTGATAGAGAATTTGGAAAAAATAATTGGTCACGAAGAGCTTCTGTCCGATGTTGTCAATCTGTGTGTGCACATGTTCGAAACAAAAATGTACTGGACCCACCGAAAAGCACATGCTGGTTGAAGTGAGTATCATGTCATCCCATCTTCGCGATTTGTTCGACCTTTGAAAGTGATTGGTTTTGACATTTCTTTCAAGGCCTTGAAAGTGCTTGAATTCTTCTCTACTGATAAGAGTCAGCAGTTAATTTAAAGAAATAAAGGAAACAATTTTTTATGTTTTGTTTATTGTAGGAAAACATCTTGTTTACAAACGAAATCACTGTCTTTCTGAAATGAGAATCCAAAATTACGGACTCAAGCTCTTATCACAGGGAAATTACTGTGTTTTGGATAAAATGTGGAAAAAAAGTGAACTGTTGTTCCAGTCATAAGC